ATACATAATATTGTTGTATTCTTTCTTCATATTATAGTGAATTCTGCATTCCTCTACCAATTTCTTATGTTCTTCTTGTGTTATGATTGCTACTTCATATTATGTCATATAATCTAATCATTAATTCCTAACAAGTGGAATGTGAGCATACATAATTCTTGCTAGTTTGCTAACAGAGCAGATGATCTTCTCGAGCTTGTTTCCCTTTCAAGGACTAGGCTTGCAACACATTGTTCCGTTTCGGAGTTTTTTTCCTCATTGAACAATTTAATAAAATATAGAGATTATCTCTACATTTTGTCTAATACTCTGTATTCAAGTATTAAATTAACAAATTTTAGAGTATTAACCATCATTTTGCATATTCCACTACGTCACATATGAAGTTAATGAGTGATGGGAATAATGGTATAGTGGTAGTATTAGAATCTCACATTGGCTAGTAACACGATTCACTTAATAAGGTGAGGGCAATCCTCTCCTAACAAGTCGATTTTGTTAGATTGAGTTAGGTCAAATACCCTTTCTAATAGGTAGTAAGATTTGAAGTCTTGAACACAAGATTTTTATCTGCTCTAATACAATGTAGAACCAACTCATCTAAAGAAATTTTTTGCAGAATGAAAGAAATTATATTTTACTTTACAAACAAAAATCAAACTGAAACTGATAAACTATGCACTAACATGGTAGAAAAAAGATGAAAGTTTGAAGCTAATAATACCATGCAAATTGAAGAGAAAATAATCACATAATAAAGTGATCAAGAAGAGCTTCCCACACCAAGAAAATCTATGAAGGGAAGATTTTTCTTTGGAAATGATTGCTCTTCTCTTGGCACAATGCTTTTCCCTTCCTTCTTAGCATCAATATGCATCAACTCTCCATTGATTTTACCATGTTTTCTACTGAGAAAATGACGATCCAAATAACCGTAGGAATTAGAGACAGCAGAATCACCATGGAATGAACTGTTGGAGCTAAAATTGTATTGGTTACTTCCTTTTCTTGCAGTAATATCAGCAGCAGAAGATAAATTATACGTTGTCAAAAGGCTCGTACAAGGCCACGACGTACATGAACCCGAGGAGGACGACACAGTAAAGATTCCGTCTTTGTTTTGGTTGCGGAATTCAAGAATCTCACTGTGTGGGAATCTCGGATTCTTTTGTTCAACAACATAGGAATGAGAGTTGGGGTCATCTTGAGAACTTTTCTTACCAGAAATCTTGGATTGTTCTCTTTGTTTTCTGGCCATAATGACATGCCAATGATTCTTAACAGCATTGTCTGTTCTACCTGGAAAAAATCTAGATATAAATGCCCACTTATTGCCATGTATTCTATGGGCTGCAAGAAGCATTTTTTCTTCTTCTTCAGTAAATGGCCTCCTGTTTATTCTTGGATCGAGTTGATTAAACCATCTCAATCTGCAACTTTTACCTGCTCGTGTGTAAAACGTAATTTAAATAATGAATTATAATATTTGTCTAACATCTTGAGCTTTTAGATAATAAAATTCAGCACATTATAATAGGAATCACACGTTTGAGTTTAAGTCTCATCATCACCCAATAATGAAATTTGTTCACGTCTTATGAATTTGATTAAAAACATAAATTTAGTACGTGTAAGGGAGATGTTGAAGACATCTTGTCAAAATATAAGTCATTCATCTTTCTAAACATAAACTTTTAGATGAGCAGTTCAATAGATCCAAATTGTTAAAACATGCTAAATTCTTTTGAAAGTGAATAGTAATAGTAAATACCATTTTATCTAAAAATTAAATGATTATAAATGGGAAGAACTTGGTTCTGTATACACCTTTCATAAATATAAAAATTCCAATTTGAAATTTTCATAATTGGATTGCACCGAAACTTGAGTTTGTGAACTTATTCATCATGTAAATCATCATATTTAAAAGTTTAACATGTATTCTGATTTTACTCATAATGATACTCATTGTTTTGGTGAAATTCTTCTATATATATATATATATACACACACACACACACACGTAAAGATTAGTAGTTAAGCTAAGTTATGGAAGAAAACAAGGAACCCTTATTTCTTAAACAGTAGTAGCCAAAGAATTATCAGAGAATCGGAAATAAATTCATAAAAATATCTATACATACCTGATCTTCCTTGAAGTTTTTCAGCAATGGAATTCCAGTTTTGAGGGCCATATTGTTCGACAAGCTGCCGGAGTTTTTCATCTTCGGTAGGTCTCCAGTGCCCTCTCGAACAAGCCCTTGCTTCATAACTAGAGCCACCACCTATATCCTCCGTCATGTACCCTGTCAACTGGAAATTTTCTAACATCAGAACAATACAGAAATTATAACACTTGGGGAATACAAAAATTAGTTGGTTTAAAGACAAAATTTGCAGAAATTTTGATGGTTTTCCCCTAGCTACTAGATGAACTCTACATGTAGGAGAAGAAACAACCCTGTTTTATTAAAATTAATAGATGATTATATTTTAATTTTTTTAACTTAAAATTTATTGAAAACAAAGCTTAATTTGTCGTTGATCGTAGAAGATTAATAAATTTTAATGTTCCATTTTATAAAGGTCTCCAAGTCTTTATGCATCGATTTATCCTTTTTCGATTTAAATGATGTGGATTTAATCTTAATCCCACTTGCTTGTCTATACTAAGTCTTGAGATTTCATCTTAAAAGCTCAACCGTGTTAGAAAACTAGTCCAAACCTTTACAACAAAGATAACTTTTATCCCTGTCTTCATACTTCATTTTGATTTGTTCTGTGTCTAATACCTCAAAAGACATAAATGAAAAGAATCAATATCCTCACCGAGAATGCTCTTTCAGAGATAATTCTCAATTATGCTTCTCAATAGTCCATGCTTTCGTATAAAGAAAAAATTGTGAAGCAAAACATTTATGTTCTCGGAGCTACTAAATATAAATGAAATGAACTCCCTACCATTGCTGAACTGAATGGGAACTCTAGAAACTAAGAAAAGAACAGTAGAAATTTCGAAGAAAAATTATCAAAAAATTAAGAACTCCTGGTATTGATGAATTGGAAGAATAAATGCAAGTACTGATCAAATTAGTTTCAATAACACCATCTTGAGTTTCACGGGATGTTAAAACATAAAAAGATTGTTGTAATATTCTCCATAATCTTGTATGATATTGTTTCTGTAATAGTTTGTTTATGAAATTAGTATAAAACATTTCTTTTCAACTATTTGTAAGCATACTAGAGTCTTTTTCTTTGTGAACCATAGACGAAAAAACTATGCAAATTCATCGTTCCCTACAATCATAATAGAAATACAGCCTGCAAGAATTATGATATTCTTTGCATCCCAAATAGATATGGAATAATTATAAAATAGTATAATAAAGATCAAATAGGGAGAAAAAAAAAAGAAAAAAGAAATTGAATAACTATGAAGCATTTTCATTAAAAAGGAAGAATTAAGATCGAAAAATATTATCGAAGAAATAATATGTACCTTAAATTCAAAGAGAGGAAGAGGAGACCAGAAGGAGAAAAAATTAACGTTATCAGTTGTTATAGAGAGAGGAGGGTGGAGAATTGATTTGAATGGACTATAAAGCTTCCAAGCAAATTTCAAGTAGGCAATGGGAAATTAAAGTCTTGTTATTCTAGATGTCTTTGCAATTATATATAAATATTCAGACTTAATTGTTAGAAGGGATATTTAAATATATTAAAAAAGTAAATTTTTAATGGGTTTTGTTGATGGTTTCAGCAGATCTTTTCTTTTATCTTTTAATTTTAAGGGCTAGCTCTCTATGTTAAAATTTTACTAATCGTAAGAAAAAATAGTCAGCACGTCCAGGAATGTTCATTTGACCTTGTTCGTTTGTCTTCGTCAACTTATCCATATAGTCCTCGCACGTCCAACTTTATGAAGCTATATTTCATTTCCCGGCTTGGGATTTGAAGCGGCATAGGGACTTGTGATGACCAAGTTTCAAGAATTTTTGTTTGTAAACTGAGTTTATTAACATAAATACGTGAGTACACTGTTGACATACATTCGAGAGCCTAAAAATGTATGTACTGTACTCTTCATGCAGATGGCAAGTCAAAAACAAACTTTAAAGATTTTACTATAATTAATATATAAAAATGATTTCTTAACTGATTGATTATTCCATACCCCACGAAATCAAACACTTCTCGAAAAGCTGTTTTATAATAAGCTTATCTATTAACATCAACTTTTATCAACTACACAAGACATCTCTATCAGTGGGTGGAAAATCAGTATCTCAAAACCTTAAGCAGTGGTGAACTGGTGATGTGCCTGTTCACTAGAATATGTCTAATCAAATAATGGAGGTTTTTTTCTAATAATAAATTAAATAATATATTTAAACACACACACATATTGATATTGAGCATTGCAAGGGAAAAATTCGACGCTAATATACATAGGGGTGGGCAAAAAAACCGAAAAACCGACCAAACCGACCAAACCAACCCGCCTCGGGTCAGTTTGGGTCGGTTTGACATAGTTATTGGTTTGGTTTGGTTTTNCTAGAATATGTCTAATCAAATAATGGAGGTTTTTTTCTAATAATAAATTAAATAATATATTTAAACACACACACATATTGATATTGAGCATTGCAAGGGAAAAATTCGACGCTAATATACATACTCTAAAATTGATCGCTAGAATTCTCGTTGCTGAAGTAAATTTTTAATCTGTCTCAACTTAAAGCTGGGACTTTGGTTGCTTGAATTTCATCGATAATAATTGGTATATTGTGCGATGAATTATCTGAGACGAATATTTTCCTCTCAAAATCTGTTGTTAATTCTATTTTATAAGCTTTAAATATTTTTTTAGTGATGGATGTTTCCATCACAAAATAAATCACTAATGTTGTTGTTCGAGAAAAATAATAGAAAAATATATGCTGACACCTCTTTTGGTAGTATTTGTACGTCTATATATATAGTATGTATGTATGTATGTATATGAACCATCTCGTCTAAAATTTTAAAACTAACGATTACAACAATAAACTTAACTCAAATATAGGTTTACCTCTGATGAACCATGCAATGAAAGGTTTAGAATATATAGCTTTCAAGAACAGGAAATTGTAAAGCAATTCAGTTACTTGCGGATTTGTAATAGATATGCATTTCTCCAAGGTGTCTACATAATAGTGAAAACTATAATATACCCTTCGGGGCTTCATCTCACATCGAAGAAACCCATAATAACATTAACAAACACTGATAAACCCTAACAAACAAACTTTGAATAATCCCA